TATTTTTTTTTTTTTTGAGACAGGGTCTTGCTCTGTCACCCAGGCTGGAGTGTAGTGGCATGGCTCACTGCAGCCTCTGTCTCCCAGGCTCAACTGATCCTCCCACCTCAACCTCCCTGGTAGTTGTGACTAAAGTTGTGTGCCACCATATCTGGCCAATGTCTTTTTTTGGTATTTTTTTGTAGAGATGGGTGGTGCCATGTTGCCCAGGCTGGTCTCAAACTCCTGAGCTCGGTGATCTACCTATCTTGGCCTCCCAAAGTGTTGGTATTACAGGTGTGAGCCACCGTGCTCAGCCTAAACTACATACTTTTTGATCAACATTTTCAATCAACGGTTCTCCAAGCTTGGTCCCTGGAGAGGCAGCATCAGCATCACCTGAGAACTTGCTAGAAGCACAGGCTCTCAGACTCACCCCAGAGCTGCTGGCTCAGGAACTCAGGGGTGGGCCCAGCAGTCTGTTTTAATGAACCCTCCAGAAGATTCTAAGGCACACTGGAGACTGACAGCAATTGTTTTAAATAACCAACTTGGTTAATAAGACTCCCAGCTTATTTTATTCAGTGAGTTCCTCTTGATTTAGAGAACTACAATCCAGACACTGAAATAAAAATACCTGGTCTGGAGTCTTAGCTGCACTATTTAGAAATTTTGAGATCTTAGGCAAGTCATGTAACTTCTCTGTGCCTTGATTTCCTCATCCATGAAAATGGGAATTATTATAGCACCAGCCTAACAGGCCTGACAGATAAGAAGTCAGCTGAGGACAGGGGCTGGGGCGTGGCACGTGGAAGCTCACCCCCAGTGGTTCCAGTACAGTTTTCTACCAAACCCTAACACCAAGTGCTGGGCACACAGCACACAGCACGTTAACTGCACTCTGCTATTTAACCTTCACAACATCTCCATAAGGGCAATGCTATCATTATCCTGTTTTACAGTTGAAGAAGCCAAGGCACAGAGAGATTGAACAACTTGCTAAGGTCACATAGCTAGCAAGTGGCAGAGCTGGAAGGTAACTGCAGGTAGCCTGGCTCCAACATCCAAATTCCTAACCCCTTATACAGCCATCCCTTGGTAACTGCAGCGCATCGGTTCTGAAACTTCTGAAGGTCCATGGATGCGTAAGTCCCTAAATTGGTGCCAGAGAACCTATGGATATGAAAAATCAGCCGTCTATACCCACAGGTTCTGTGTCTCTCGAATACTGTTTTTTCAAGCCATGGTGAGTTGAATCTGCAGAGGCTGGAGCCATGGACATGGAGGGCTGACTGTACTCTAGTATTTTCCCATTAGCTCTTTAGGGAAATGACTTACAGATGAATAAGGACCTGAAATGAATTAACTGGGACGTGGTGGACTTGGAGAGCGCTGAAGGGAGGATGCGCCGGAGGCTGAACAGAGCTGCCTGTCTCCTCCATCAGGTCCTGGCATTATGCAGGATCATCCTGAGAAATCTAGCAGTGGGGATTCTCCAAATGCTCTCCCCTTCAGATTCTGAGGATCAGAGCCTCAGAGTATCTGAACGGCCTCCTGCTATCCTCTCCCCACTGCCAGGGATGAGATTCTTGGAAAACAAAGGAGACAGGCAGGCAGGTGAAGCTGGTTGGCTGTACAGGCAATGGTTCTTAATGACCATTGAGTTCTCTGGAATCGGTACCCTCAGGTAGGGGCTATGCATCTTTTTGGGAGGAACCTAATTCTCTAGGCCCTCCTTGCTCACGAGTGTCTACGCTAGCCTGCTCTGGAAACACAATGAGGCTGCAAAGATCTGCGTACTCCTTAATCTAAGATTATTTTTAGGGCTGGGTGTGGTGGCTCATGCCTGTAATCCCAGCATTTTGGGAGGCCAAGGCAGGTGGGTCACGAGGTCAGCAGTTCAAGACCAACCTGATCAACATGGTGAAACCCCCCGTTCCTACTAAAAATGCAAAAATTAGCCAGGCATGGTGGCACGCGCCTGTAATCTCAGCTACTCAGAAGGCTGAGGCAGGAGAATTGCTTGAAGGAGGTGAAGATTGCAGTGAGCCAAGATTGTGCCACTGCACTCCAGCCTGGGTGACAGAGCGAGGCTCTGTCTCAAAAATATATATATTTTTAATCATTTATCTTGTTTAAAAAATGAGATAAGAACACGAGGGAGCAAATTCAGATTGGAGTGGCAAGTTTTTCAAATACAGGCGCTAAGACAAGGGCCATAGCGAAGGTGTAGGCTGAGCGCTTCAGAGGCTAGAAAAAGGACGGCACGCAGAAGAATGGGCATTGGGATCATTCCCTTGGCATGTTCCCCTACTCGGCTTGACTTCATAAATGCAGAGGCAACCAGTTATAGAGAATTGACTCTTGCTTTCCCATGGGCACATATGGCCTACTAGGACTTGCCAGAAGCTATCAATTGTTTTCTGGATCATTAAGAATGAGTATTTCTGGGATTCTGTGGCATACTCTATGGAGTGTGCTGTTGATGAGTGTGTGGGCACCTGCAGGCAGGGAGCAGAACAGCAGGGAAGCACTGGACATGACCTTTGGGTTTCTGGCATCAGAGCACCTGTAGCAGGCTGCTTGCATGAGGAGGCAAAGCTATGTGTCAGGAAGGAAGCAGAAGCGTGGGGAAAGCCCACAATGGATGCCGTCTTAGATATCACAGACATCCTCAAAGCCAGAAGCCTGGAGGTGAGTCACTCGTTGGACAAATGGTGGCTGAAAGCAGCACTCTGTCCTTGTCAGCCTTCATGACACTGTCTCCAAGAGATGTAACAGAACCAAAAGAGAAAGAGGCTCAAAAGGCACAAGAGGCGATCACATACTGTCCTGAGATCCATGTGGATACCAAGTACAATCTTAGGGAGACAGGTACCTCCACCTCCACCTAGATGGCTAGGTGTAAGGACATCTATAGAAGATTGGTCACACAGGTCTGTAGGAACGGCAGTAGGGATGATCAACTCAGGAAGAGATAGAGCTCGAAGAGGAAAATTAAGGATACTGAGATGCTCTAGGTTTCTAAAAAAGAGTATGCAGACAACATCCACAGATCACTGTGGGTGAGGGTGAAAAACCGAAAACAGTGGAAAAAGGACAGAGAAGCCTATGTTAGCAAATGATCAACACCTTTTAAATAGGAGTTAGATGGCAGATGCTGAGCGTTCCAGGGCTGGAAGCTTCCTGCGCTATTCAGACAAGGTCTAAGCCATGTTATGACAGGAAAGGTCTGTGAAGTCTAAGACAGGGACTGGATGACTGCCGGGTGCCAGCAGGATTTGGTGGGAACAGAGTGGCCAACACTGTCCCACGGGGCACGTTAGAGTCAAGCAGTATGTGGATTTTCTGTAAATAGGGTTAAGGTCCTCGTTTCTTTGTGGAAAAATGCAGATTGTGTGCTGGTTACATAGACGAGATCAACAGACTTCTGACCACCCAAGGAGGCTGTCCAGGAAAATGGGGGTCTCTTATCTAGCTAGGAGGAGAACACCAACAACTTGCTTACGGTTTTCGTACACGACAGAAATCAGGGCTTGAAACTATCTTCATAAGTGGCAACTATAGACTGGATCTCAAAATCTGAAACCTATTAGTCATAAATGTAAGGACCTGTGAACTTAAAATACACATCTTAAAAACACAAGCCCAGAATAAGAGTGTCTTGGCTTCCCATGTAAGTGTGAAAAACGCTTCTGGGGTTTTCCCTTGAAGGTGAGCTCAATCAGAGATGTGGACAGAAAAAAGACAGAAGAAGGGGTCACGGAGTCCTGTACTCACTGAAATCTAGAATCCTCTGTACCAGCCGGGCCGTATGTATGCCTCCTTTAAAAAGGGCAGCATGGGCTGGTGTAGGCTTGGAAGAAAGTCAATCGGTGGGGCATGAAACTAACTCCCGAGGGCAAGATTGGTGGCACTGGATTCACACTCCCTCAGTTTGGACCCTGAGAGTGAAGAAGGTGCCCAGGAGAGGCAAGTGGGAGGTGAGTGCAAGAAGGGGTTCTGAGAGAGGGGTTCGCAGCAGTGGAAGGCGTCCACACAGAGGGCAGGGAAGCAAGCCCTGGAAGCTGGTGGGAGCCCTGATGGCAGGTGCCTGCTACCGTAGTTGTGTGACAGCCTCCACCAATATGCCTCCCATTCAAGGAGTGAGGAGTTCAGGGCCTTTGTCTTGCAGGCCTTTCCCTTTACCTGGAAGAAAAGAACAAGTGGGGCTTGGCCTGTTGATGGCAGTGAACACATCCACTTGTGAGGGAGACTCTGCGAGGGTGAGTTTTGTGGGCCCTTCCCTTCATTTTGAAATCCATCATCCTGCAGAAGACAATGACACCAGCTGTTGCTTCCACTAATGACGGAGGAGGCGGGAAGGAATGGCCCTTACTGAAGCTGCCCACCTGCTGACAGCTTCATAATACCCCAGAGCCCATCCAAAGGGATATATGCAAGGCTCCTGCTTAATTCTGCTGAAAATGACACGATAAATTCCTTCAGTTTCCTAACAACTGCCATTCCTTAAATGGCGCTGATCATACCTGCCCCAGAATCAGTTCCATACACCTGCCTGCCCCTGATTTGCAGGCACTGTGCTTGGTCCAACTCTATGGATGCTGTCTCTGTGGAACATTTGCCAGGGCCCAAGTTGCCTAGCCATGCCCTTCTGTGAGTTCCTAAACCGCTCACTCTCTCCTCTGGTACTCGGAGCTAGAACTGCTTAGCTGTGGTATTGCTTCAGTGAAATGGTACATCTCCCTGAAGATAGGAAAGATACTTATAAATATTTTGTAACCCCACCACCCCATGACTTAGAAAAATGCCAAACTCAGTAAGGTGCTGAAATGAACTGATTAAATATAGAACACGAAATGGAGACTGGTCCTCTCTTTCCCCAGAACACTCTGGCTCAGGCCCACCCTGGGCTCTTTCACTGACGAAGAGATAATGGACAAGAGCCCAGTTTTATTATTCAATAAATGCAGCAATAAATATGAAGAGGGGATGCTTTCAAAGTCCTAGTCAAGAGCTGCTTTCCTTGTCAGATGCTATTTAAAATTGGGAAAAATTCAAATTTCATTGTCCTATCTTGGAGGCCTTCTATGCCACTGGTGCCCAACAGTAGACTAAAAGAGACCCCACACCCCTATATGGAAGGTGAATGGTGGTAGACAGACGAGTTTGGACTGAAGAATCTGGATAATTCAAGGAACTGAGATGCCAACAGGAGCCAAGAGGCCTGAATCTGTGCCAGGCACTGTATGTGCTCATGGATAATTAAACATTTTTTAATGCATAGGTATAATGTACACTGTCAGTCCCCACCTGACCAAGGAGTTATGCTTCCTCTTCATTTCCCTTTCCTTTTTAGAATGTGTCTTCATATTTACTGTAAAAGTAAATGTTTGGTACTCAGAATGCATTTTTCCATTGGAAAGATAGTACGAAATAGTCATTCCAGTGTGGGTTTAGGCCATGGTAAGCTTAAAATGCTCAATATTTTACTTGACAACTGGTAGACAGGAATATTCTTGCAACACTGGGGACTAGCAAGTAAAAAGCAAATGAAATGAAAATGAGATCTCTTGAATCATGGTAATTAAATGAAAATTTGAGATGAAGAGGAGATACATAGAGATATTTTTGTGTTGCCTCTAAAAGAGATTTATAAAACTTTTAAGGATTTTAAGGTTAATGGAACCATTTATTATAACGTAATATCATTTAAAATGCAGCTGGTTGTTTTCTTACCACCAGGCTACATTGTTAGAAAATACTTTTCACCTTATTTGCAATTTAAGGCCTTTAAATGGAATAAGGGCAGGGAGAGAAAAGAAAGGCAGGAGAGTAAAAAGATAAACAGGTTAAAAAAAAAACAAGCTACAAGCATGTAGACATTTTCTTTCCTCCAGCAGCTAGGTACACAGACTGGAATGAGGACAGGAGAGAGAGTCAAAGAGGTTGTTTTTAATTTTTAAGAAGAAAAGAGGTGTTCAGGGCAAAGAGGGCAGTTCTTCATTATGACCACAAGGTGGTGATATTGGCCCAGAACAGTTTGGTTGCTGTTTTGGGGGAGAGGCATCAAGACCAACTAACAACTTGTGTGAAGAGAACAGTCACAATTCCAACACTGGGTAGAAGGGGAAAGAGAGACACCAATACTTGATGGACACAGTTGCATAAATACACAGACAGAAAGTGTATCCAAGTGTATGTCATCTCTTTTATAAAAACTGTAAGTATCATAATGATACATCTGTATGTGCAGTGATTCTCACAGTCTGAAGTCTTCAGTGGAGTCTGCTTCAACACTTCAATATGCTCTGGGTGACACCTTCCTCAGCCTTCACAGAAACATGTTTTAGGATAAACTAGCTTACTCTCAAGCGCATTTGACTTCTCAAAACCCTTCAGCAATATGATTCTTCAGATCAATATTAGTTCTCTGCCCAATACTGTAATGTTTTATACGTTCATATAAGCTTACATGTAAACAGATGCACACATATAAGTATTTACATGTACATACATAGACATCTCACAGTAGGTATCAAGCTATTGTTTAAAGTGGAATCAAAGAAATATCAGTAGAAGGAAGATTTTGTAACTTTTATAAACTGGAAAAGTAGCCAATCTAGTTTATAAGCAAAAGGGTACACTTAGATTGATACTATTAAATTCCTTAGACACCAGATAGTTTTTGACAACAAGGATGTCAGAAACCTATCTTTAACTGTTACTGGCACTTTTGAATTAGAGCCTGTAATTATGACTGTCACAGTGTTAACAAAGGCGACCTGTTTTCTGATGTTGCTTTACAGTATTAGAGAATTTACTAATACAGATCCTAAGGGGATTATCAACTTGTGTGACTTTAACTATTCAGCTCTCTATACATTTTTAAAAAGCACTCTCTGTTCTTTAAAGTACTCCTTTGAGGATGTTACTCAAATATATTTATCATTTATCAGCTCTCAATACCTAAAAAAGAAAAATGAAATTCACATCTGTTGTTGGTTTAACAGCTCAGATCAGAGAAGGTCCTGTGGGCAGTAAGCATGAACAGAACGTTGGCTCCAGCAGCAACTCGCCCCAGAAAAACGGCCTGGAGGCCTGTGATTTTCTCTTCTCAGTTCTGAAATTAATACTCCAAAGCCACAGATGAAGAGCCTGTCTCTTTCTCTTGTCCCACAAAATTGTAAAAATTATCTGAAACCATGTTCAGCTCTTCGTTGGTGACTGAAAGTATGGCCATGTTACGCTCACACTCAATAAAAAGATCATCACAACAGAAATCTCAAAGCTCTCCAGTAGCACCAGTGAAGTGACAGTCCCATCAGTGCTAGTGCAACTCCAGCCCTCACTGTGACTCCACTGCCATGCTCCCAGCACACCGCACAGCTGCCTAGACCTTCCTTTTGCACTTCATGGTATAAATACCCATAAACGATATTTTAGGTGTCTAACGAATAGAACAGTGAATATTTAATGTATCTCCTTTCTTTCAAGCGTGAGAAAGGCATTAATGAAGGAACATGCACACACGATATTTACATGATGGACTGAGATGAAGGCATGCTTTTGTTTTCCAGAAGCAAGGTAAATACTTACGAGAGAAAGATTTGGGAATTATTGCATGGAAATCCCTAAAGTCATCAGCCCCATATGTAACTGCAATAAAGAAGGCAAAAAGAAAGCTGGGTTGTGATACCAGTAGAGAGATACAGTCAGAGTTTAACAGAAAGCATTACTTTTTAAAAAAGAACGTTTTATTACTCAAAACCACTGTTCAGCTACTCATCTTCTATTGCTGGCCCCCCTACAGGCAACAGAAAAGTAATTACTCATGAACAGGACCACAATCCCCTCAGGTCTCAACTCAAAGCATTATATCCCATAAAGTGGTTTGGAGCAATTACTGACGGCTTCAACATCTTAGAGGGTGCAGCTCCAAAGATTCTAGAGCTCTGAGAAACCATTCCGCAGCTCCGGTCCAAAACCTCAGGCTCCTTGCAGAGTGTCTCCTGGGACAGCTCGTTATCGCCACGAAAGTGCGTGTTTCTTAATGAGCTGATTGCATCGCAAATGTTCTTCATTCAGCTTTTTCTTAGAAAGCGTTCATAGAAAATTAGAAAATGCAGCACATTGGGTGGGGGAAAATTATTGTTTTCCCCAACCCACAAAAGAGCTACCCATTTTGGTGAGCAGTCCTTATCAGCTGCTTTCATAAACGTTATCCCTGCCTCAAGTCTTCAGGTTCCTATTCTCTTTCACAGGATAGTTTCCCAGCATATTCCTTTTCCCTAAGATTTGGCAGATTCTGCACAGGTGCACACACGTGTACACACACACAAAATTTTCCCTCCAAGAGTCACATCTCAGCGACTGTTGAAGTTACACACACAGTGTAGCTGCTAAATTCAACTTGTTGGATGAGGTCCTAGGTTAGCAGAGTCAAGACTCTGAGGTGACCTGCAGGAAACAGACCTATGGAACTTTGCTTAAACCGGTGTTTTCCAGACTTATCTGACCACAGACCCTCCTTCTTTTCCCATGAAATTATTGGGAAATAAATTATTGGGATAATGAGCATCATAGTTTAAGAGACATTTTGAAAGCTGTTTCTTGAAGTGACTTGTTGAATCATTTCCTAGCAAATCTTTACTCTTTATCTGCTTATTTTATTTAGTCCAAATGTAATGGGTAAGTCAATATTACGAGTCCCATCAAACACAGTAGCATAAATTGCCTCCATGGGGATGTGCTCGTTGGCCTGCAAACCGCCAATTTTGCAATAACCTTTGCTGCGCTCGTCATCTTCCTTGAGCTCCAGCCCTTTATATAATCTGTTTGCCCTTATTCTGCTTCACGGAGTTGCTAGCATCTCAGATAATGGCAGAAAAGGCAAAGATGTTTTAAAGAGTAGGTATTACCTTCTGCAAATGGGAACATTGCAATAGTGACAGAGTACAGAACTCTGACTAAACCGTGAAGCGCTAAGATACTGTTTATACTGCTGATAATGCCAATAGGGTGCTTGAAGATGACTTGCTTTGAGAGTTAACCTCCTAATAGATCCCGGCAGCTCTACAGCCAGATCAGCCACCTGTCGTACATATGATGATGATTACAGCACTGGGGAGGCTTCATGTTTACCGACACACTGAATACACTGAAGATTAGGGGGTTAAGGGATTAGATCTGAACGCAATGTGTCTCAAATTCGTCTCACCAGGAGAAAATGTAGCCTTTGGCAGTCTTGGGTAGTCAAAGCATAAGCCTTGAAATACTGAATTCTGTCAAGACACTTGCCACTCCACACACTGCCATTAATATAAAGAATACTGTAATAGACATTAAATTTTTTAAAAATTTAACTTTTAGATCCAGGGGTACATAGGCAGGTGTGTTACATCGGCAAACTCCTGTCATGGCAGTTTGTTATACAGGCTGTTTTGCCACCCAGGTATTAAGTCAACTACCTATTATTTTTCCTAATCCTCTCCCTTCTCCCACTCTCCACATTCTGATAGGCCTCAGTGTATGTTGTTCTGCTCTATGTGTCCATGTGTTCTCCTCACTTAGCTCACACTTAAAAGTGAGAACATGTGTACTTGGTTTTCTGTTCCTGGGTTAGTTTGCTAAGGATAATGGCTTCCAGCTCCATCCATGTTCCTGCAAAGGACATGATCTCATTCTTTTTTATGGCTGCATAGTATTCCAAGCTGTATGTTGACCACATTTTCTTTATCCAGTCGATCACTGATGGGCATGTAGGTTGGTTCCATGTTTTTGCCATTGTGAATGGTGCTGTAACAAACATATGAGTACATGTGACTTATGGTAGAACGATTCATTTTTCTTTGGGTATATATGCAGTAATTGGATTGCTGGGTCAAATGGTGTCTAGGTCTTTGACGGATTGCCCCACTGTCTTCTTCCACATGGTTAAACTAATTTACAATCTCACCAACAGTGTATAAACATTCCTTTTTCTCTACAACTCACCAGTATGTGTTATTTTTTGACTTTTTATTAATAACCATTCTGACTGGTGTGAGATGGTATGTCATTGTGGTTTTGATTTGCATTTCTCTAATGGTCAGTTATGTTGAGCTTTATTTCATATGATCGTTGGCCACATGGATGTCTTCTTTCGGAAAGCTGGATACTGAATGTTAATCATGTTTGAAAATAAACAGTTCTTTGCCTAGTGTAATTCAAATTTATTTGTTGATTTTTGTCCCAAATATGTGGTTCCCTAAAAGTCACAAAATTGTTTAAAAAACAAAATATAGCTGTACTTACTAGTTTGTTTCATGTCTCCACAGTAATGCTGAACTGATAAGAGCTCACTCTTGTTCCTGTAGCATCCATGTTCATGCACATAAACTTCTGAGCTCAGAAAATGAAGCGTGTACTATTCTAGCTGAACAGGTAATTACATACAACATGAAATGTGGACACTCACTCCGTTCCATGCTAAAGTCCAGTATCTCGTGGGAGCCAGTCACCGGAAGCTCTGTTGATGCCAGGTGGTGGCAGAGGTTTTGTGGAAGCTGTATTTATGATGCTTGAGAGGCAGTGGAAGATGTGTAAGGTACTACAGCTGCCCACACAGGGACACACATAAGTGTGTTTTTGTGTTAATGCAAATATACACACACTCACCTACACGTGAGGCATGGGGAGTAACGGTGTCCCCCAATGAACAAATTCCCAACCAGTGAACCAACAACTAGGCAAGTGTGGCTGTTACCCCTCCTAGCGCCACCCCCTCAGGGTCCTCACTGTTCCAGGAGCTGAGCCTGGCACACCGCACATCCAGGGTTGGGACTGAACAAAGTCACAGAGCAGGTGAGTACGCACAGCGGCCACTGAGAGCTCCTCGAATGCACTCCAGGAGCCAGCTGGCCCCAGGGGCTGTGCAATCTGACAATATTCCCACATCGCTTCTGGCAAGCTGAAAAATGAGCCATACAACCTGCTTTTTCTCGCTCACTTGGAGAGGTCTGCAGGTGCCGACTTGCCTTGCCCATGAGGACAGCCCTGCCTCTAAGTTGACCCTCTTGCTTGTCATAAGAAACAGTCACTGTGGGATTATGGAAGCTATTATTCAGCGATTACCTCTCGACCTTGTTCTCTTTCCTTTAGTAAATTCAGGCCATTGTTTGATAAAAGGGTGCACATGAAAAAGGTGTTAAACTTTGTTCTCAGTTTTCTACATTTTATAAAATATATTCTTATCCAGAGCAAATTTAACTCATTGGTAGGAATTTCTATTCCCCAAACTCTCATGCACATTTTCATATAAAATGCTGTGAATACCTTGGATTCTGAATCCTATTTGAATTGCCAAATTGATGAACATTATGGGGAAAATGAAATACCCGCAAACCACTCTTCTCAGTTTGCATTTAGCTGTGCATAAGATTATAAACTTCTTGTGCCGCTGTCACTCTGGGGAGAGGCGAAACATACTTGAGATGTTCAAAACAAGAGAGAGGAGATCTGATCTATTTTCAAATGCAAGAACACTGACAATTTTCTGGGAAAATCTTTCTAAAGGCAAACACATTCAGATTTGTATTTAGGAGAATTTAGAAAAATGCTGTGGTTTGTATATGTTCTTTTAATCACATTAACCTGTTAGTGACAGTCAGATCATTAGTCTATCATTACCTTGTTTGAATATGGTTTGTGGTGACCCTGGCAATGCCACCAAACCTAGCATTTCATGGTAGAGCTTCGTGACCCCATGGCTGAGCTAGTGAGAATCACAGCACAGGACAGCAAGGTGGAGGTGGATGGGAGGAGCAAGCACCCTAGGCAGAGCACCACAGGCCACACTTCTAGAAAGTACTAGTTAGATCATGAAGAGCGATGGGAGGAGCAAGCACCCTAGGCAGAGCACTACAGGCCACACTTCTAGAAAGTACTAGTTAGATCATGAAGAGCTACCAAGTCAAGATTCTATGAAAACCTTTCAGACCTTCTGTGGATGGATACATTTGCTTTTAGACCACCCTCTAGTTAGGAGGCTCCGAGTCTCCTCACGGGAAGAGAACACTGGCTGCCATCTACGGACTGCACACTCAAGGAAGGTATTGTTGCTCAGTCTTACAAAAGAGGTAGCTAAAATACAATCAAGTTCAGTCAGACCCAGGGACACCCAGCTGGGGAGTGCTGGCTGGTGCAAGTCCCACATCTAAGCTCCCCAGGGGACTGAGTAACTCCTCAGTGGTTCCTTTCATTTCTTGTCCTGCAGTCAGTCCTGAGGGTTTCAACTCTGCTGCCGCTTGTCTGCTTGCCACTGTACCAGCCCCTTCTTTTCAGAAGTCAAGGGTCATGTCTTACACCGCTCTGGATCCCGTGTGACCCCAGCATAGCCCACCCAGCAGGCACACACAAGTCTGGAGAAGGCAAGTGAAGATACGCCCAGGACCCCGTTGGTGAGCTGCACCAGGGCTCCATCCTCGGTAATCTGCCCATTCTTCCCTTCATGCCCAGAACATGCTCAGCCAAACCCAAATCCCTATCTTTACCCCCAGACCCAGCTCGCCTATGCAGCCCATGCATGCTGATGGGGCCTCATCACATTCTAACCCACACGGGGCTCGCCTTGACCCTTGCCTCTCATGGCCAAATGATGTCTGAGGTCTTGGGAGAGG